GCAGGCTGATTGCGAAGGTATCCTGATACCGCCTCTGCGACTTCCAGAAACGTGGCGATCTAGGTGTCGCCGAACTCGGGTCTAGATGCTGTGAGAAATTTTTCATGCCTTCATGAAAGAAGAAGCTGAGGCGGTGAATGCGTAAAATATCTGACAGCGTGGGATCAAGCGTGGGGTCACCAGATCCCTCTGAATGCTTGGCACTCTCTGCAGTGGCTGATGTGAGGATCAGCAAAAAAAACGAAAGCTGCCGATACTGAAATCCTTTGTAATATGCTCTGCGCCCCATTGCTTGTAGTACTGTCTGCTGAAAAACTTTATTTGCAGCAGGGCCAACTGCCGGCGACCCACGACAAGACTTCCGTTCCCAGTTGTGTGGAAGAAAGCCAGAGCGGACGGGATTGTAAAGCCAGTGGAAAACCAAAAAGGGCATTAAAAGCCGCTCAAGTCTGCACTTGTATACTGAAAAATTGTTCATGTGGTGTCTAACTCTTCCTGGATGAGCCCAGGGGCCAGCCACATTGCTGTAGTTTCTGCGGCGGCAACCACAGCCGGGGCGGAGTGGTGGGCTGCATGGGGCCATTTGGTCCATTTGCCTAGTTGAATTGGAGTGAATGAGTCTTTTCCAATCATCTGAATGGTTTGGCAGTGGCTGCAGCTCGCCTTGCCTTCCATATTTTAACTATAGCCACTGTCCAAGTCTGGACGCGTCAGAAGGCAGCAATGGATTGTGGAACTTCCACGGTTGCGCCTGGCTTCGCAGGCAGTTTCTTTCACGCTAAAAATTGATTGTTGTGAGACAATGCTTGAATTTGCATAGGGTCTGTGAGCTTGTTAGTCAGTCGCTTCCCTGGTCACTCAGTCACTCAGGATCGGGAACGAAAAGTGCACTCTGCGCCGCCGAGATTATATGACTTAAAAATTGCTCTAGCAAAGTTCAGACAGAGAAGTCTGAATGTTGTGGATGAGGATAGTGTATATCTGCATTCACGAACAATGCTAAGACTTGTGATTTGGCGCGCAGCCCAACATGTCTGGGCTAATGGAGAGGGATTTGGTGCAGAGACTAACCCAGAGAGAATCACTGTAACATTCTTTGATTGTTGGCTCAGAAGCGAAAGTATCAATATGTGTGGCTAAATACATTATGGCTGCAACGCATTCACGAGGTAACAGGGATCTTGTTTCCCACGTGGGAAGATTCGCGAAGTAGGGGAAGTCTGGCTACCGGCGGAGATTTGAAAAGAGAAATACTTACACGTTTAACTTCTCCAGTTGCTTTTGGACTGATCTCAGGGATCAAAATACACGCGATTTGGTGCATCAAGGAGTTGGTAATGCGCTTGAAAGTATGTACGAGACAGGGTGTCGCGTCACCAGCTGACTCAAATGTTCCTACTGCGTTTTGCGACAGTTTCGTGGAAATGCTTAGTTTTTCATGATCTGCTTATAAGTAGATTTTGCGAGACTACTTTGGACGCTGCACCTATGGGGCTCATCGGCTGCTCGTCCTCATGAGTCAATAATCGACGTAACAACTGGACGGCAGCAAAACTTCATTTCAGGTGGACTTGATGGATGCAGGCCTTCAAACTGCACCGTCTTGTGATTTACTCAGCCACAAGCGTACTGCAAAGCGCCTTAACCGAGCAAAGAAATGGCCTTGAGAGTTCATTGCACACTACGGCACAAAGAGAAATAAAGAGTGTGGGAATGCAGGGCTCTGTGAGTGGATAGTCCCTGCAGATCCCAGAGCAAAGTCGAGACTTCGTGCATGGCGCTGACCTGAAAACAAACAGAAGCTCTGTGCACGCTGTCACTTCCTTTAAAGATTCCTAAGTTCCATTTTCGTCATCCAGAGCTGCTAGTTCTCCCATTAGAGCATCGCTATTTTTAGAGCTGTTCCTCCTACAGATGAAACATTGGAATTGCTGCAGCCGGTGATAAGAATTCACGTGGTCACCTTGCTGGGCTTGATGCACATGTGAGAGAGTACCCAGAAACACGTATCTGTGGTCAGCCGCTCATACTGCAGCACTTAACGGGTTCGATGTCTGCTTCTGAAATGGACAATTTGTAAGAACCGAAGAGTCCTCACCGGAGCTGTCAGAAGAACAGAGATTCCTAAGCTTAGAAGCAGACCTTCCGGAAGCAATAACTAAGGACCCTCCTACTCCGCTTGGGAGACTCGATCACCAGGCGCCCTCCCCAGCATCTGGAAGCGTGAGTATATCAGCTAACAATAAGAACACTGTCCAGCGCTTTACTATTGTGTTGAAACCCCAACGGGGAATATTGCTGAGTGAGGAATCCGGCAAATCTCTTCCAATGCATCCAAAACCCGTAAAGCATGAAAAAAGCAGCCTCAAGAGGGCTCTTTTAGAAACTTGGTAGTTTCGTTTCACCAATATAAGACTGGATTCACGGCGATACGGCAAGAAGATGATTGGTTAGCTGCCAGGCCTAACTTTGCCGCAATTGTTGTAACTGTAGAGCACTGTGGTTATGAGCGACGGGGTGCTGGTTAACCAGAGGTTCTAAAGTAGGTTCTGTATCCTGTCACAAAATTAAATACTACGAAAGACGGCAAGAACTGAGGGGACGGGATGCAACACATCGTTGTAGCTCTAGTGAAGGGCTTCGGATTGCGCAGTCGTCAGGGGAACAGATGAGTCATTAAGCTGCTTTTTCGGGAAACTACCTAGGGATTTATGCATGACAGTCCCAAAGGGTGTTGTGCCTATCACTACAATGTTGCTCCAGCGCAACCCCATAAGGCTGTAACATTTATTATTCCACACATAGGGCATTATTGGAGAGCTTATAGCCACGAGAACCAGGCTCTTGCAACAGATTTAGCCTAGAGTGTTTGAGGGGAAAACCAGGGATCGAGGCTAGCCGTGTCACGTGTACAGCCTGCGAGCACAGACGCATGCTGAGGGGCATCAAAGACCTCGGGAAGGCCAGGCCTTTGGGGTTTTTTGACATTTTTGGACTTGGAAGTACCTATGTAGTGGGGGGAAAAACGATATAGGAGTGGAGAGAGGCCGCGCTCACCACAAAAGGCCAAGCAGTACGGGCTTTCTGGCTTGCACATGGAAGTCTTGAGCTAGCCCTCAGGGAGAGATGCAAAAAGGCCCTGCACGAGACAGGTCACAGAGAGAGCGAAAGGAAGCTACAGTCGATGGGCGGAACAACGCGAAGAGGTGCGGCCCCAATAAGAGTTCAGGAAAAAAAGTCAAACGAGCCCCATGAGTGTCAAGAAACAGGGCAATGAGCAAACACCATGTTAGTTGCGTAGCCGCCGTTCGGCTGCTTGCATGTTGCTCGCCAGTCAAAGTGTGGCTGTTGACCAGCACTCCGTTCAAGTTCATGTATGCTCACGTGAAAGAGTTCCATTTTTCTGGAACATTATTTCGGCAATCTTTTTGTTTGCTGAGGCCCTGGAGAGAAAGAAAACCAGACAACTTCCTCGAGAAACCTGAAAAGACGTGGGGGAATTTGGCGGTGTGCCAAAGTCTATCCTGCATTCGGCAGACGTACGGCGCAGGTTAATGCAGCAAAGTGTCTTAAGAGTCTGTATTTAATGAGATATTAGACAAGCGTTTGAAGGAACGAGCACAAGCATTGTAAATGATAATCATGGTAGGAGCTAATAAGGCGGCTGAGGGTTGACCTGGGCATTTTTGACGGGGCCTGCGACCATAGAAAACTTCCCCAAACAGGACCTGTCTGTTTGGACCTTTTTCAGTGTATAATGACGTCTTCAGTGAGTTGCCTTACTTAGCCAGTTGGTTGCCTGAAGCGGGTTCTACCTTTTGTAGAAATTCTGGGAACCCCCTTTCCCACAATGTTTCAGGGTGGAAGCAGAAGTGTCGCGGTTCATTTTGAATCAAGAGACAGAATGTTGATTCCCTTACACACCACCTGATACGTATTATACACAACTAGCTCAGCTGCAATAGTTATGGGGGCTAGGACCGCATTGTTGCACTCACATGCAACACGGGCAGGCCTCCTTCCTTGTGGTCGGCACGGCGTTAAAAAAATCCTACTAGACCTAAGAAACTGAAATCTTCACTAAATGAATTTTGGCGTTGCGGGGGATTCATGTTCAAACTGAGACGGGCGAGTCGCGAGAGTTCCGTTAAATGACAAGCGCTGGTGGCGTTTCCCGTTGGGTTAGCAGCTAGCAGCAGTTCTCTTGCATAGAGCACTGTTCGATGCAATTAAATAATTGGATATGCACGTGGATAGAAGTAACTTTCAATGGAGGCGGACTCATTTTGAATTCATTTTCACTGCTACGGTCTCCCTCCCATGTCCATCAGTGTTTGCAGAATATAACGGGAACTACCTCTCCGCCCTCTGGCTTGAAATGCTTCACTTACATTTTGAACACAGTAGTGCATTTCGGCGGGCCTCAAACCTTGCTGGACTGGATTAATAACTAGACTGGCGTTCAAGTCTGTGACTCCATCCGGCCACTCTCCAGTTGCTAGGGGCCCCACTGCGAAACTCGCTGGTGCTGCCTCCCAAATATTTGCTAAAAAAACACTAATTACTCATCAAATAAACTAGGACAACACAGCGTTCTCGCTGCAGCCATCAGTAGCCGCATAGTTGGGTCCAACACGGCGTGCCCAAGTAGTTCAGTGGATACTGGCTAAGATATGATTAGCATCAAATTGTTTGACAGAACTCTCTGTGAAACTGATGACCTGGGAGATTGATTTGTTACAGTAATGTGTGAAGCGCTAGACTTGAAGTTGCCTCGCAGAAGGCCCCGGTTCCGCATGCAAGCACAGTTGGAGCCTGCCTTCGTGGAGTTTTAATATAAAGTTTGGCCGTTCCCTTCGTCTAATCTTCTTTTTTTGTGTTATTTTATTAAGCTGGCCGGCCCACGAATCCCTTACCCAGAAAATTTCAGTCACATTTGTCCCCAGCCCCCATGCGCATGCATGTGCAGCAGTGCCGAGGCTCAGTGCTGAACTGGAGGGATGGTTCGGGTGCTTCTTTGCGGCGAAGTCCGCGGGAGGGTCAGAGAGCTGCACAGAGTGCTGCAGCAGCTGCAGAACAAGGGGCCCTTTGACTTCGCGGTCTGCACAGGGTCCTTCTTTGCAGATCCGCAAGACTCGAAGGCGGGAGCTGCATGCAAGGACTCTTCAACACAAGTGGTGAAGTGTGAAAGCCCAGACTTCCCCGAAAAGGCAAACCAAAATGACGTGGCACAGGCTATCCGTGCTGAACTCTCGCAGCAATTCGCAACGGGCTTCGCAGAGCTGCAGCACTGCTGCAGCTCCCTTCCCCTCCCCCTGTACATCCTCGACAAGGCCGCGAGCGATTGCGCCCAGAGACTGAGTGCTCGGATGGGCCGGGGAGGCTCTGCAGTGGCTATTAGGAGCGGGGAAGCGGCTCCTGAGAGGGCCGTAAAAGAGGAATCTGCTGCTTCCGCTGCTGCTGCTGCTGCTGCTGCTGCTAGGCCTGCAGCAGCCGCTGACAGCCCTTCTGGAAACGTTTCTGAGGCTCTAGGGGAGAAAAATGGTCAAGATGAAGAGAAAAATGGAATTAAATCAAATGAACTTTCACCTGCACAGCCGGAGGCGCCTCCACGTGCTCCCGGGTGTACGTACTCCCCGTTGCAGCTGCTGGACAACGTGTGGCTGCTAGGTGGCGCTGGTGTTGCTCAGCTGGAGGGCCTCAATGTTGCCTTTTACAGTGGGCAGCAGAATGCTGAATCTCCCTGCTGCAACTCCAATGGATCCAATGACCAGCAGCAGCAGCAGCAGCAGCAGCAGCAGCAGCAGCAGCATGAAAACGGCACGGCCGGAGCCAAGTTTATCTCGAGCCTTCTAGATGGATGGGGAGGCTTCAGGGACTTCAGAGGCAGCACAGACCTCTTCGTGACAACTGAGCCCTTGCTGGGAATGTTTGACGGGCTACCCCCGGGGGTGGCGCCAGCGCCGTTTACCCAGCAGCAGCAGCAGGAGCCGCAGCAGCAGCAGCAGGAGCCGCAGCAGCAGCAGCAGGAGCCGCAGCAGCAGCAGCAGGGGCCGCAGCAGCAGCAGCAGGGTGAGCATGCTGGCCTAGATAGTAATGTTGCGAAGAAAGAGGCAGCGGCTCACTCGGAGTCTTCTGAATTTCATTTTCGCTTGTGGGTCATTCTTTATTAGTTCGGAATGCCAAGTGGCTTTTAAGACTTGAGTTAAATATTTTCACCACTTTTAATCTGCTGCCAACACCTGCAGCACATGCCTTTTGTTTTGCTGCTTTGTTGCGCTGCTGTGGCGTGGCGGGGTGTTTTGTTCGCCGCTAGTCCCGCTGCTGTAGCTGCTGCTGCTACTGCTGCTGCTGCTGCTGCTGCTGCTGCTTTTTGAAACCTTCTGGCCCGCGGTGACTCTGCGATGGGGCTGCTGCTGCTGCTGCTGCTGCTGCTGCTGCTGCTGCTGCAGCGAGAGCAGCTGTCTCGCGGACTTCCTCGAGCCCCGCCATATCATCTGCAGCGGCTTAGGCCTTTTCTGGCAAAGACCTTTCTTTAGGGGAAGACATTTTGGTAAGCATCTTTATGCTGCTTTTGTTGCAGCTGTTTGCTGCAGCTGTTTGCTGCAGCCGTTTGCTGCAGCTGTTTGCTGCAGCTGTTTGCTGCAGCCGTTTGCTGCAGCTGTTTGCTGCAGCTGTTTGCTGCAGCCGTTTGCTGCAGCTGTTTGCTGCCATGTGTATTCCTCTGTCAACTCTGCTGTATTGACTGCATGCACTCAAGTGCTGCACAGCAGCACTGAATGCATGCATTCACTCGCTGCTCCTGTGCAGCAGCAAGTGGCCAGCTAGGGGGGCCCCAGCTGCTGGTTTTGCTGCTGCTGCTGCTGACTGCCGCCAGGCTTGCTGTTGCTGCTGCTGCTGCTGCTCAGGGTACACAATGCGTCTAATTTCTCTTGGCGTCGTTGGCGAGAAGGGGCCCCAAGTGAAGGCTTTTCATGCGCTGCAGCTGCGCCCCACAACTGCAATGCTGGATCTTTTGAAGCAGCAAGAGAAGCAGCAGCAAGGGGAAAGCGAAGGGGCTTCCCGGGGCTTTAAACAAGAGCAGCAGCAGCAGCAAGCTGCTGCTGCAGCAGACGCAGTGGAGGAAGCCCGTGCTGCTCTGTTCTTCGTGCCCATTGAGTGCAACAGCCCCAACCCCTTCATCTGCGCTGTCCGGCAAAGACAGCTGCTGCTGCACTCGCCGCCCCCCCAGGAAATGTGGGCCCCCGTGGCCCCTGGGGGCCCTTCGCCATCTGCAGCTGGCGGCCTGCAGGGGCCCCCGAGGGCCCCCAAGAGGCCCCGGGAAACGGGAGTGGTGTTGGTGGAGAACCTCCCGTTTGAACTTACAGAGGAGGGGCCCCTCAAGAAGGCCCTGGAGCGGTTTGGAGCCATTAAATTCATTTTTATGCCAAAAGACAAGACAGATCCGACGAAGGGAACAGGGAAAGCGTGAGCCTGCGAGAAGCACTTGGCTGCTGCTGCTGCTTCGCTGGTTGCTTCGGCCATTGCTGCATCTTTGCAATACAACATTTGAACAGAAGCTCTTCATCTTTTCTTGCATTTGCATGCTGCTTTTGTCTCTTGTACTTGTTTGCGGCCTTGCTTTCTTCCAGATATGTAGTCTACTTCGATCCCAAGGACGCGGCGAGTGCCACCGAAGCCTCGGGCCAGTTGGAAGGGGGCGGCCGCCCTCTGCGGCTGCGGCTCTATTACGACAAAATCCCCTTCGATAGGCCCACGGGGGCAAAGAGCATCAAATGCGGAAGCGTAATAGCCACGGAGCCGCATGCAGATTGTTGGTTCTGTTTGGCGAACCCGCAGGTCGAGAAGCACATGATTGTTGACATAGCGGACCGTATGTACACTGCAGTTCCCAAAGGGGGCCTCACACCTCTCCACATGCTTCTCATTCCCATTGCGCATTTGCCCTCTCTGGCCTACGCGGACGCTGAGACTCGCCGAGAAGCTGCGGCGCTCATCAGAGCCGCTCGCAGCGCATTTCGTCAACAGGCAAGGCCATATCCCACAACAAAGCGTAGACCAGAGTTGCGGCACAAAAAAGCAGCGGATACTTGCAGGTCCTTTTAGTAACAGTCACCAAATGGACAAACGAAGTTCCTCGCTGCAGACGCACTGCTCATCTGTAGGAACAGTCTGTTGCTGTACAGCCCAACAGTGACTGCTGCACCCACCTATGATAGCTTGGAATTGCATATACGCATTTTCTGTGAGCCAGTGGCAACAGTTTGCTCATGAGCACATGAGGTGTATGAGTAGCTCTTACAGTCCCGGGCAGAAGCCCGCAAAGTCGGATATTATCTCATAGATTGTAGGGTTCAGGCTGTAGCTTTGTGGTTCAAGTTTTTGTTTTTTGCAGAGCCTCGATTTGGTTGTGTACGAGCGCTACGTGCCAATGAAGGCGACTAAAGCCATGCACTCTCAGCTTCACGCAATTCCGTGCGACCGTTCACAGGCCCTTCAGTCAGGGGAGTTGTTTGAGGTTCGTGTTTGTATCGATCGCACCGTTTCGTGGCTTCTCCAGTTTTTTGAATTTTTCTTAAAGGACAGTCAATTGTAAATAAAACGCACAAGAAGTCGCAGTGTTCCACCCACCAGGTCACTTGCTTGGCGGAGCACGGCGCGGGCCTGTAGCAGCGCATGCGCAAGCATTTCTGCGATCTTGGCGCATGTTGGGTTGGGTTGCGCAGGCTAGTGAAATTGAGATCTGTGTCTTGTGTTGCGTCTGCGGCGTCAGAAACGGGCGAAGCGAGCAGGCCTTTCTTTGCAGAGACTGCCAGAAACAGCAGATATCACTTCCCTTTCTGAGTTGGCGAAGGACCCCTGTTTGGGTTACTTTTACGTGGAGATTCCTGGCGTCTTAACGGCGAAGGGACAGACAATTGATCGTTATTTGCATGTGCAACCGGGGAGAGACAGCGGGAAGATTCCCATGACCTTTGGCCGGGAAGTCATGGCAGAGCTGTTGGGGCTGAGAGACAAAGTCAACTGGCAGGCGTGCCTTGTGCCTAAGGACGAAGAGGCGAAGCTAGCGGCAGCACTTCGTGACGTTGTAGGGGTCAATTAGAAGCGGCGCCTTAGTTCTTTTTGGGCGCCCTGCTTGAGCAACAGCTCAGCACAGTGGGAAACATGCACTGGATTATGGCTTACCTGGCTTCATGCTTCCACGTGCGTATTCGAAACCCCTGGTGCTGCACGAAAGAGTTCATTTCGATGCTTTGGCGTGCCTGGTCTTCAGCTGCCCCTTACTGTTAGCTATGGGGAAGCTGCCACGGCAAACGCTGAAACTGGCTGCCGTTGCAGCTGGTGGACTGATCAGGAAGTACTGCGAGAAGGATGCGCAGATACGCCTTCAGCGAGTACTGTAGGAGGGTCATTTACATGCTGTAAAGCTTTCCTATTTGTTTGGAACAGAGTTCAAAATGTGAAGTTTTCGCTTTTGTCGATGCGAAAAGAGGACTCGAGGAGGTGACACCATTTGCCAGCTAGCTGTCACAGTGATAACGTACGGCCCGTAGCTACTAGCTACAGCTAGCAAACTATTCAAAATATTATTTGCAATTCCCACACTCTGCACTGCTTTCACGGAAATTTTGCAACTTTTCAGGCAGACTATGTGTAAAACGCCGGAATTCATATACTCCATGGTGAAGAGGCAAGACGTAGCAGCACGGACTCAGTGACTACTCGAAAGTGAGTGTTAAATGCTGTTCATAATGCGAACTCCTTCGGTGCAAGTAAAATGCTGCACTCAGTGCGAGCCCTGTCCAGTTCAAATCGAGATACGCTCGTGTTGCATGGCTGCTGGCTATTCCAGTGGCTGCAGCTCCTGGGCCCGGTGAGGTACAAACAAACGAAAACAGGGGAGCCATTGTTTTGAAGTGCACTCTGGAATCCCTGGTTGTGCTAGTTCAACTCGCAGGTATTTAAACATGAGGGGGAATAGGTATTGCAGCTGCTTGTAGCTGGTACAGGTTGTGGCAGAGAAGTTCCTCTGCTCACCTCCAAAACAAAGACAGTGAGAAAAGAGCAGCTGCGCATTACGTGGCCACTGATTGACAGCCAGCATGGCGTGCAGTGCCCATAGCTGTTTTCAACAAACCCATTCTAGTGAGGATTACTGGGGGCATGCGGAGACTTTTGCTGCTACAGGTTTGCAACTCTCTATTGCCCGATTGCTGGCAGGCATATACGGGCTTCCGACACTCCTTCTACAGGTATAAAATATCGTTAGTGATACCCAGAGCGTCACTAATTTAATGTCTCGTATTGTTTTGTGCAGATAAGTGTGACTGAATGATTCTGTGTGCGTCAATCTCTGGGATGCTCTGCGAACTAGCACTTGTCATGTTTGAATGAAGTCTTAACTATAATTTCGCAAGATGCTGCTGCGCGCCCTGATTTATTCTCGTTTTCAATAAAACTCCATCAAAACACATCCACTCTAGTGGATGTCAAGTTTGGTTCCTACCTACACGGCATTCACAGCTCTCGCAAACCTACAGCGGTCAAACAAGACAAAACGAACGCCATTTTGGAAAACGAACTTGAAAAAAACTAAAAATAAGCGTTCAGACTGCACAAAGGTGTTTCCGAGCAACTGGAAATGAGCCAGCGAACAACAACAAGTGCTGCTGTAATTGACCACAGAATGCCGAGAGTTTACCCAGTTGCTCTCATAGTGAAACTTGCTTTGCCAAAATAATGTAATCCTCAGCCATGCACTGCGAACAGAGCTAGAAGCCTTGACGGAAATGAACAAATAGAGCAAAAAAGCATGACAAAATGGAGGAAAAATAAGTTTCTGTCGCTCGAAAAGTGGGGAGTACACGGGTGTCACCCAGTTTTGAACCACCGATATCTGGACTGCAAACTCGAAAAACGCCTGAGTACTAAGTTCTATATTCCCTGACCTGGGCACTAAATGCCAAACTTGAAATATAGATCTTCAAGTTAGACTGTTTAGCTTTCTGTAGAGCTTTCTCTGTGCAGCTTTGTCAAGGGGGTTGCCGCTGGCGACAAGCTGATTCACTAGTGTGGGACAGGCATTTGTTTCGTCGTTTCGCGAATTAGAATTCCTCTTAAACGAAAACTTGCAGGAAAAACACAAAATGAGATGAGAAATAGTTCGTTCTTCTGAACTACTTGTGGCCTCATTCATGTTTCAGCCTCGAGACACGACTCCTGGCTGCACCCCCCCGCTGGTGTACCGCTGTTGCGCTTCCAGCAGCCTCAGCCATTATATGCAGTTCAGTTTCCTCCTTCTGTTATCTAAATTGTTGTTCGGGAATCTGAACTTTCTTTGCATCAAATAAAACGCGAAAATGCCGTTGAACTTGGGGGATTCCTTTCCAGACTTCCAGGCGGAGGCGCTGGGCGCCGAGCACTTCCGCTTGCACGAGTACTTGGGAGACAGCTGGGGAGTGATGTTCAGGTAAGATTGGCGCACAAAAGCCCCATTTAATCGCGTTTTGAATTATGTAGACTTCTGTGTCGACTGATGAGCACGAGGGGGGGGCTGCTGCACTGGAGAGCCTTGTCTCGTGCTCAATTCCGGATTTCTGGCGTTGCTTGCAGCCACCCGAACGACTTCACTCCCGTTTGCACGACGGAGCTCGCTGAAGCCGTGAAGCTCCAGGACTCCTTCACGAAGAAGAACTGCAAACTCGTTGGCTTCTCCTGCAACGACATGCAGAGCCACAGAGTGAGCAGCAGCAGCTGCTGCTGCGCTGCTGCGGCGCTGCGCCCGCAGCCGCAAGAACACGCGATCTCCCGTCAATCTGCACAGCGAAGCAGCAAATAAACACCTTTTTGAAATGCTGGGCAGGTGCTGTGCTCGCTGCAGCCGAAGTGCGTGTTGCTGCTGCTGCTGCTGCTGCTGCTGCTGCGCAGGACTGGGCGAAGGACATAATGGCCTATGCGGGCCGCTCTGGGAACTTGCCGTTTCCCCTCGTTTGCGACCCCAAGAGGGAACTGGCTGCGAGTTTGGGAATTATGGATCCTGCGGAAAAGGACAAAGAGGGGCTGCCTCTGACTTGCCGCTGCGTCTTCTTCATAAGTCCTGAGAAGAAGCTGGCGGCCTCCATTTTGTACCCGGCCACCACTGGGAGGAACTTCGCGGAAATCCTCAGAGTGCTGGACTCTCTGCAGGTATATCTTGCTGCAGCTTCTCTTGTGGCTGTTTGTCTCAGTGGCATTTGACTTGTTTTTGCTGCTTTATGACCCCTCGTTTTGAAGAGCTGCTTCTCTTGTGGCTGTTTGTCTTAGTTGCATTTGAATTGCTTTTGCTGCTTCTTATTTATGACCCCTCGTTTTGAAGAGCTGCTTCTTTTGCTGCTGTTTGTCTTAGCGGCATTTGAATTGCTTTTGTTGCTCTATGACCCCTCGTTTTGAAGAGCTTTTTGTTGGTTGATGCAGTGAATACTTTTGAACAAGTCCCGTTTTGTGTGCATGCATTTAAATTTAAATTTATATTTGTTTTCTTCTTTCTTCGCAGCTCACTGCCAAGTTTCCAGTGGCCACTCCTGTGGACTGGACCGCCGGGGCCAAGTGCTGCGTAGTGCCGACCTTGGCAGCAGAAGACGCAAAAAAGCTTTTGCCCAAAGGCCACGAGGCGCTGCAGCTGCCTTCGGGAAAGCCTTACCTGCGGCTCACCCCAGACCCCAGGGGTTGAATCTTCTGCATGCAGCAGCTGCAGCAGCAGCTGCAGCAGCTGCAGCAGCTGCATGCAGCTGCAGCAGCTGCATTCAGCTGCAGCAGTTGCATGCAGCAGCAGTGCAGCTGCAGCTAAAGCTTTCAAGAGTTTGTCGAAATGGCGGGGCTGGAGCTGCTCTCGAGGCAGCTGCTGCTGCCTTTGTTGGCAATTGAACGGGGTTGCGGGATCTGCTGCTGCTGCTGCTGCTGCTGCATCCGTGCGGAAGCAGGCAACTGCATGCAGAGCCAGTTTGCACTGCAGCAGTGAGCCAGCAAATGCTAGCAGCAAAACTCGGGCGCGAAAGGAATACCATTTTGGACTTCGGCGCAAAACTTAGAGCTGCAACTCTGCAGCTCGCTAGCTGCTTCCTATTTGGTCAAGGGACTTGTTCTAGAAAACTGTTTTATATTATCAATGCTCCATTGCAAGAACATTTAATTGATGCTGTATGAGGTTTGTACTTAGTAGAGCTAGTTGTACGAATCAGTCTGGGCAGCTGAACCATCATGAGCTACAGGTGCTGGGTGGTGCTGGCTCTTCTCATGAATGAGATCTTCCTCAGCCCTAAGGGGATTCATTCTTTATTGCTTATCACAGAAATGCAGATGCGCTAGATTTCGCAGAGTTTGGAGGTTTACTCACAGCGAGAGGGCTGTGGACCCTGACTATGTCGTCACAAGGGGAAGTGGTGTTGGGCTGGCGTGGGGAGCCCGGGCTGCTTTGTGTGGATATTGCGAGTGTTAAATGCGCAACAAAATGACAAATATTGGGCTAGGTTTGAGGACAAAACGCACGGCTCACTGCTGCAGTCAAGTGCCATGCGCTGAAGAGGTATGCTGGCCCGGCAGTGCCTCTCGTGGCTGGGCGCATCGGAAACCTGTGCTCCTGTGGCTTTGTCACTTCTTTCCCTTCGCAACAATATCAGAAATGACTGTTAGCAAAGAGCCAGGGGAAGGTTAGCTTCCAGGGGTGAGAGAAAGCGCTGAGGGAGGGCACTTCAAGTTGCAAGATTGTCTGAGACACTGGTGGCCTCATTCCGGATAAGTGCTTTCTAGGCGGTTGTACTGGCCCATGGCATCATTAAAATAAACAACTAATAAATTCAAGTAGTTTTAGACAACTGTATCGCTGTGTTGCGAATGTCCTGCGTCTGCAGCAGAAACGAGCAAGGAAGCAGAAATACCCACCTATTTCAAAGAGATCGAGACTGCTCGTCTCGATTGTGAAAGAGGTGAAACCACAGGTTCAAACTCGTCCGTTTTATTTGTTAAAACGGTAACATGTCAATTAAACTTGATCTGCGGGAATGATTTAACGGTGGATGTCCATTTAGCGTAGGTTTCGCGAGGTCATTCGTGCGGCGCTGCTGACGAAGTCTCGAACCACCACAGCATTGAACTGCCGAAGGCTTGCCTTAAAAAGGGTTTTAAAAGTTTTAACAGGATTTATCAAGGCTTTTAAATGGCCTCAGTTTGAAATTCGGTTTGTTTCTGCGCTGTGTCGCGTTTGTGGCTAGGTTTGCGGCGCAGCTATGTGGCTGGTTGGCGCTCTGCTGGTGAGCTGCTGGCGGCTGCTGCTGCCGATTCATATCTTGTCCATTTATTTCTTTCTGTTCTGGAACTCTGGCACCATCACAATCATCTATTTTCTCTTAGTAGATCAAATTTCAAGTTGCCATTGTCCCTTTCTCGTAAGTGTAATCACTTCTTCACAGAGTGACCTCGCGAAGCGCCGCTGGCAGCATCGGGCTCCAGTTTCGCTTTAGGGAGTTTCCTGCGAGTGTTACCTGTGGAAAGCTGCATTACTATTTGTTTTTTACCCTTATAAATCAGTAACAACTGCAATTACGCAAAGGAAGCCGGCCTTTTATCCAGTTGTTCCAGTTCTCACGGCACCACGCCTTCTTCCTCTGCCGCGTTTCCACATTGCAAATCCGAGCAGTCCAGACGGCTTAAAGTGCCCCCCTCTTTTGATATATTATTTGAAGAGTATAAAGAGCCACATTTGTCGAGTGCAGGCGGGCAGTGGGCAGCTGCTGCCGCGTCTGGCTCAAGCCGTTGCCTGTGTGCTCGCCCACGAGCTCACTCAGAGGAAACCAGCTAACTGCTTGCCACACTGCGAATGCATGCATTTCGGGTGACTTAAAATGCATTTTTGTGTCTGTCTGTCGCTTTTTTCCCGGTTATTCCCGCAGCAACCAGCAAGATGGCGGCGCGGAGTGCTGCCCTGGCGGTGACATGGCTGGCGGCTGCGCTGCAGCTGGCGGCCTGCATCGGGAAGTCGCAGCCCGCGGCCGCGTCTTTCTCGCGGGCCGCCACTGCCGGCGAACTGCAGGCGCTGATCAACAGCATCAAGTTGGCCGTGGACAGCCGCGTGGTGGCCTCTGCTGCGCTCCCGCTGCCCTCCTCCAAGGGCGCCAACAGCGTGGTGATCTCCCGCGGCAGTTTCCAGCGCTCGAGCTTGCCCAGCGTGGCCAGCGTGGCCACTTTCAGCAGCGGGGGGGGTCTGGGGCTGCCCCCCTGCTCCAAGTGCAGCATGAACTCCGGGGTGACCAGTGGTCCATCTACGGACATTCAAATCGACATCCCCAGCAACGGCGGAAGCACTGACATCATCATCGAGGAGAACTTCGCCAACGGCGGCGGCAACGGCAGCGTCGCCACTGCCTCCTGTGAGTTCCGCAGTCCGCAGCTTTCTTGAACGGTCTTAGCCATTTTTTTGCAAGTTTTTGCATTTTTTTTCTTTTTTTTGCATCTTTTTGCTTTTTATTTTGCATTTTCTTCTTTCCTTTTCAGATGTTTCTGTTTGTTGCATTATTTGCCGTTACTTGTTCGATTTGGCGCTGCTTTCCAGCAGTTCGATGCCTCCGCATGCAGCAGTTGCTGTTCATCTTTTCCCGCCCAACTTCGAATCTGCGTGCTGTTTTGTTTATTCTTTTGTTCCAACTCTTCATTTGTTTCTTTTAATCTCTCAAATAAATGTTTATTTTCGACTTTTTGTTTTAAGTTTGTTTCTCTACTGCATTTGCACTTGAGCGCTGTGACTACTTCGAGTATTCTGCGAAACTGCGTCATTTTTTCTCCTTTTTTCGCCACCTAAACGCAATTTTCGAATTCTAACTAAATTCCCTCTGCTGCTGCTGCTGCTGCTGCTGCTGCTGCTGCTGCTGCTGCAGTCGCCTCGCGAGCCTCCCGCGTTTCCGCAGCCCGCGCGCCCACTGTGGTCATCCGCGACTACGGGCCCCGCAGCAGCCGCACAGTGCCCTTTCCGAGTCTCTTTAATGTGCAGCAGAGTTTTGCGCAGCGGCCCGCAGTGGTCTCCACTTTTGCCTTCGAAAGCCCCCCGTCCAAGTCCATTCAAGTCCCCACATTTCCCTCCAAAGGCGCCATTAATGGCATTAATGGTGGCATTAACAGTGGCATTAATGGCGGCCTTAATGGCGGCCTTAATGGCGGTATTAATGGTGGCATTAATGGCGGCATTAATGGCGGAATTAATAATGGCATTAATGGCGGCATTAATAATGGCATGAATGGCGTTAATGGCGGCATTGACAGCGGCATCAATGGCGGCATTGACAGCGGCATTAATAATGGCATTAATAGTGGCATTAATAATGGCATTAATAATGGCATTAATGGCGGCATTGACAGTGGCATGAACGGCGGCCTCAACGGCGGCGTAGACAGCGGGTTCAACAATGGCATTGACAGTGGCATTAATGGCGGCATTAATGGCGGCATTAATGGCGGCATTAACGGCAATAATGGCAGCATTAATGGCATTAATGGCGGCATTAATGGTGGCATTAATGGTGGCATTAAAGGTGGCATTAATGGTGGCATTAATGGCATTAATGGCGGCTCTGGGGGCGTTGCACAGAAGGGCGGCTGGAGCGATCCGGGGCAAACTGGAGTGGTTGCCAGCATGCCCAGGAGCGGCTTCAGCGCAGCAACGCCCCAGAAAGGCTCTTGGGGCGGCAGCGGGGGCCCCAGCGTGGCCAGCATGTCCCGCAGCGCGGGCCGGGGCCCCTACATGACCAGCATAGTATCTTTTGTGCAGCGGCGGCTGGAGAAGCTGCAAAGGGCTGATTAAATGCAAAAAGGAGAAATAAAAGTGAAGTTCGCTTCGGGAAGACGCAGCGGCCCGAGACGCGCAAGCTGCGCGCAAGTCCTGCAGCAGGCAGCTGCAGCAAAAACGCGTCTTGGGCGAATTCAAGATGCAAAACGCCAATCGGTTTGCCGGAAACTTTTCTCGCAGTCTAGAGCAATTTCCATGCAAATGGGACTTTCCAAAGGGGGAAATTGCGAAAATTTAAACGCGAAACAGCTCAAGTTTCAAGTTGCGTGCGCAGCTCTCGGGTGTACATACACACCAGGGATTCCGCAGCGCACGCCGACTTGCAAAACGGCCTGAGCCTTTCAGAGTTGTTTTCTTCCGTTGTTTTCGACAAGTGCAAATTGTTGCTGGTGCCATTTGTGCTTCGCCACTTATTACACTCGTAAACTTAAAAGCGGCTGACGTTTCAGACTTGTAGTTGCATTGCGAACAGCGACGGGCCGAGAGGCACTGCGGACCTCCAGAAGACAGATCCGTCGCTTCTAGCGCGACAAGAAACGAATCCACTCAGGAATTGCTAAATTAGATAATTTAGTTTTAATTAATTCCGTTTTTTTCCGCACAAACAGGCCGGAACGTCTAGTCTACGCCGCAGGTGTCTCCGCAGGTCTGGTGGGCTCGCGGGAAGCCAGCCACTGCGTCCAGCGCCGCCCCCGCAGCCTTTTCGAAAGCAATTGGTATTTTCTTTTGCATTTTAAAAACACTTTTAATTTCTGAACTTCTTTTTCGCAGCTTCCCCGCGGCAGCCCGTTGATCGCTGCAGCTTTCGCTCCCAGCGCCGCCGAACCTGCTGCAGGTCTGCGCACTGCCCGCCTCCGAGCGCGCGATCTTTTCGCGAAAAAGCAAAAATGGTAATTGCAGCGACTTCCGAAGGCTCTGGGAGCCAGGGGGCTGGCTCTTCAGCTGTCACGACAGCTGGCTCCGCAGCAGCAGCAGCAGCAGCAGCAGCAGCAGCAGCGGCGGGCGAAAGCTGCACGCAGGGCAGCTGCAGCGGGAACTCCACGTGGAGCTGCCAGGGCCTGCAGCTGGCCTGCAGCATGTGCGTCTGCGTCGTCGGAGGCGGCAACATTGCTGCTGCTGCTGCTGCTTGGCTCTCCCGCAGCAGCAAAAGTCTTTGCGTCCACGTTTTGACTCGGCAGCCGCAGCGCTGGACGCAGCGGCTGCGCGTCCGCGCCAACCCCGCCTGCCGCTGGGCAGCCCTCCAGCCCTACGAGGCCAACATCAACCTGTGAGGCCCTGCAGCAGCAGCAGCAGCAGCAGCAGCAGCAGCAGCAGCAACGCAGCAGCAGTAGCAGCAGCAGCAACGCAGCAGCAGCAGCAACGCAGCAGCAGTAGCAGTAGCAGCAGCAGCAGCAGCAGCAGCAGTAGCAGTAGCAGTAGCAGCAACGCAGCAGCAGTAGCAGTAGCAGCAGCAGCAGCAGCAGCAGCAGCAGCGCAGCAGCAGCAGCAGCAGCAGCAGCGCAGCAGCAGCAGCAGCAGCAGTGGCGTAGCTTGTTGTTTGTGCGCAGCATCACGAACGACGCTGCAGCAGCAGTGCAGCGGGCGAGTCTGGTGATGGTGGCAGCTCCCGCTCATGTCCATTTGGAGTTGCTGCGCAAAGTCGCGCCCCACTTGAAGCCCGGCTGCATCCTGGGCACTCTTTTTGGCCAGGGTGCGCAGCAGCAGCAGCAGCAGCAGCAGCAGCGCAGCAGCAGCAGCGCAGCAGCAGCAGGGCAGCGACGCAGGTTGATTCTCGCTTTTGTGGCAGGGCCATTTTAGGAGGAGACAGCAGCAAGAGTGCAGCACTGTTTGTAACACTTATTTCCTTTCCACTCTTCCAAATAAGCCCTGCTGCTGCTGCTGCTGCTGCTGCTGCTGCTGCTGCGCTGCAGGCGGCTTCGACTGGGCCGTGGAGGCGGCGCTGGGCCCCGCCCAGGGGCAGCTTGCTGCAGTCTTCGGGCTGCAGCACGTGCCTTGGCTGGCGCGTTGGGAAGTGGGTTTTAATTTAATTTAAATTAAAATTAAAATTAAAATATAAATATAAATTAAAATATAAATTAAAATATAAATTAAAATATAAATATAAATATAAATTTAAAATTGAATTTAAATTCTTTTTGCAGTTCTAGTCCGCTGCTGGAAGCAGCTTCCCCTGTTGCAGCAAGCCCGGCAGCCAGCGAGGGGCCTCCACCGCTCTCTTCCGCTGCTGCTGCTGCTGCTGCTGCTGCTGCTGCTACTGCTGCTGCTGCTGCTGCTACTGCTGCTGCTGCTGCTGCTGCTGCTGCTGCTGCTGCAGGAGTACGGGAGGGCGGTGGAGCTGATAGGCCCGAAGGAGTTCATTTGTGCTGCTGTGTCTCCGCCCTGCGCCCGCCCAATGGTGCAGCTGCTGCTGCAGCTTTGCTTCGACCAGCCCTGCAAGTTGCTGCCGAACTTTTTGTGTCTCACGCTGACCCCCAGCAACCAGATCATTCACCCCGCCAGGTCTGCTGCTGCTGCTGCTGCTGCTGCTGCTGCTGCTGCTGCTGCTGCTGCTGATTTCGAGGCGGTTTGGGCGTGGGGCTTGGCCTGGGAGCGTCGGCAGCGCGGCCTGTTTCGTGCTGCTGCAGCTGCAGCAGAACCAAGTTTTGCTGCAGCTGCTGCTGCTGCTGCAGCAGAACTAAGTGTTGCTGCAGCTGCAGCTGCAGCAGAACCAAGTGTTGCTGCAGCAGCAGCTGCAGCAAAGGTTCCTGTGCGCTTGTGGGCTGTTGAAAGGGCGCCTGCTGCTGGCCGAGAGACTGCGCATGCGCGCCGCAAGAAAGCACCCAGCAGCAGCAGCAGCAGCAGCAGCAGCAGCAGCAGCAGCAGGTTGCGAATGTGTGCAGGTACTACTCCATCTTCAAGGACTGGGACGGGAAGAAAGTCTACAAAGAAAACGAAATCTCGTGGGGGCTCTACACGGAGTTCGACGCGGAGGCGGCGCAGCAGCTGGCGCTGCTGGACGCGGAGCTGCAGCAAATCAAGAAAGCTTTGGTTTCTCAGTTTCCAAATCTCGATTTAAGCACAGTTTTGCCAATTCAAGAAAGAATCCTCCAACAATATGGTCAGTTTCTTCGGATCTTGTTCGGATCGGTTCGCGGCGGCGCGTGCAGAACTGGGGTGTACGTACACCTCGCGGGGTGTACGTACACCTCGCGCAACGTGCACAAAAGGCGAATTTGAAAAGCCCCCAAAAAGAAGCCCGCGGGGCTTTTCATTTTTATTTATTTTCTTTTTTGAAAGCCCGCGAGGCCTTTTTTTTATTTATTTTCTTTTTTTGATGCAGGAGATGATGTTAAAGATCGCACGAACTTGCAAACCATTGTGGCCACCAACGGCGGCTATGCTTCCTGCCGGACTCCCGCAGCAGCAGTTGAAGGTGAGTGTTCTTCTGAGGTTTTGTTTCCTTTTTGTTTCTTTTTTGTTTCTTTTTTGTTTTTTTTGTCTCTTTTTTTGTTTCTTTTTGTTTTTTTGAATCAAAAAGCCACACATTTGCAAGTTTCTCCCTCGATTTCCCTCTCCCGGCTCTCGGGCCCCGGCAGAGGAATGAACTTAAGGGCCAAATTTGATGAAATTAAATGAACTTGAGGGGAAATTTGATGAAATTAAATGAATTTGAGGGGAAATTTGAATGAAATTAAATGAAATTGAATGAAATTGAGGGCCAAATTGGATGAAATTGGATGAAATTGGAGGAAATAAAATGCAGAATTCGGCGGAGTTGGCAGCGGAAAAAGAAAGCAGCTGGGACTTGTGCAAATTTTGAACTTTGCTGCTGCAGGCGGCTTCCAGCCCCACTTGCAAAGCCGCCTTTTTCAAGAAGATGTGCCGAGCGGTTTGTGCGTTTTGCGGGGCGTAGCGGAGCTGGCAGGTGTACAGACACCCGGGATTGACGCCATGATTGAGTGGCATCAAAAGTTTATGGGAATTTCATTTTTAAAAAATAAAAAACTTAATCCAGAAACTCTCCATCTCACCACTGCCCCCCAGCGCTACGGCTTCGACTCTCTCAGCCGTTTGGTCGCCACCACTCTCCGCGGCTGCCAAACAGCCAATCATAACTCCAACTAAACTTTAATTCAACTTTTATTTATTCCAACTTTATTTTATTTCAACTTTATTCTATTTCAACTTTATTTATTTCAATTTTATTTTATTTCAACTTTTATTTATTTCAACTTTTATTTATTTCAACTTTTACTTATTTCAACTTTTATTTATTTCAACTTTTATTTATTTCAACTTTTATTTATTTCAACTTTTATTTATTTCAACTTTATTTTATTTCAACTTTATTTTATTTCAACTTTTATTTATTTCAATTTTATTTATTTCAACTTTACTTTATTTCAACTTTAATTCAACTTTGGTTTATTTCAACTTTATTTTATTTCAACTTTATTTTATTTCAACTTTATTTTATTTCAACTTTAATTTATTTCAAATTTATTCCAACTTTATTTTATTTCAACTTTATTTTATTTCAACTTTATTTTATTTCAACTTTGATTTATTTCAACTTTATTTTATTTCAATTTTGATTTATTTCAACTTTATTTTATTTCAACTTTTATTTATTTCAACTTTATTTTATTTCAACTTTATTTTATTTCGACTTTATTTTATTTCAAATTTAATTTATTTCAACTTTATTTTATTTCGACTTCGATTCAACTTTGATTCAACTTTAATTTATTTTAACTTTAATTCAACTCCAACTAAACTTCAACTCAAATTTCATTCAACTTTAATTTAATTCAACTTTATTTCAACTTTAATTTATTTCAACTTTATTTCAACTTCTTTAATTCATTTCAACTTTATTTCAACTTCAATTCATTTCAACTTCAATTCAAATTCAACTTCAATTCAAATTCAAATTCGGCATTTGAAGTTAAACTTCGAACTCGGCACTCAATTTCGTCCAATTGCGTCCAGTTTTTCATTTATTTTCATTTCATTTTATTTATTATTTGTTTTCATTTATTTCATTTATTTCATTTGTCTTCATTTATTTTCATTTATTTCCATTTAATTCCGCATTTATTTTCATTTAATTTTTCATTTATTTTCATTCAATTTTTCATTTATTTTCATTTATTTTCATTTATTTCCATTTATTTTCATTTAAGTTTTCATTTATTTCATTTATTTTCATTCAATTTTTCATTTATTTCATTTATTTTTATTTAATTCGACTTTTAATTTCTTCTATTTGCTGCTGCGCGGCGCTGCTGCTGCGGCCCACCAGGCCCTTCTCAGCTGCAAGCTGCTGCAGCTGCCTAGTTCTGCTGCAGCTGCTGCAGCTGGCTGCTGCAGCTGCTGCAGCTGCGTAGTTCTGCTGCAGCTGCTGCAGCTGCTGCAGCTGCGTAGTTCTGCCGCAGCTGCTGCAGCTGCTGCAGCTGCTGCAGCTGTTTATTCCCTTTTCCTGTTTTGCGTGGCAAACTAAATGCATATTAAAAGATCGACAGGAGGGCAGAGAAAAGAAAACTAGCAGCAGCAAAATAGCAGCAGCAGCAGCAGCAGCAGGGTGAAGAGAGAAAGCAGCAGCAAGGAACAAAGTTGCGCGTTTCGAATTAAAGTTTGCTGCTGCAGCCAAGCCCGCCTCCGCAGCAGCTGCAGCGCTGGGGAGCAGCAGAGGCAGCAGTTTGTTTGCTTCGAGGAAATCGAAAAGCAAAAGAAAAGAAAAGACAAAGGCCCTTAATTAAGTTCATTTAAATGAAGGGCAGCTTCGAAAGAAAGCACACTTTGCTTCTCCAGAAACAACTCCAGCAGCAGCAGCGCGTTTCCCGCTGCCTGGGGCTCTCCTTGGTGCTTCTTGCAGTTGCGTTTCTCTCAGCCAATGCAGAGGCGGAAACAGTCGTTGAAAACTGCGCAGAAAAAAAGAAAAAAAGAAATGAAAAAAAAAGCCGAAAAAGTGAAGGACAGCCCAGGTTTCAGGTGTATCGACAGCTCGGCCGGCGAATTTACAAAAATATATTTATTTATTTAAACAACAATTTTTATCTCTTTTATATATTTAATAATTTATTATATTGTGCAGACTTCTGCATTTGTGCACTTCTTCACACTTGCGCAGCAGCAGCAGCAGCAGCAGCAGCAGCAGCAGCAGCAGCAGCAGCAGCAGCAGCCAGGCACCGCGGCGCGGTACTCTTTGAATTCGCCTTCGGAAGTCAATTCCGTTTGAAGCAAAATTAATATTTTAATTCAAAATAAATATTTTAATTCAAAATAAATGTTTTAATTCAAAATAAATATTTTAATTCAAAATAAATATTTTAATTCAAAGTAAACATTTAAATTCAAAATAAATATTTTAATTCAAAATTAAATCCAATTAAACTTTTAATTCAAAATTAAATCCAATTAAACAAATAAATGAATTTAAATTCCACAAAACAGTTTTGGAGCACTTCGGCCAAGAGGCCTCACTTGCCGTTCATTTCAACTTTTCCTAAAAAACTGAAATGAACCAAACTGAAGCCAAAATAAACCAAAATGAGCCAAAATAAAACAAAATAGACCAAAATAAAGCAAAAATGAACCACAATAAAGCCAAAATAGACCAAAATACACCAAAATAGGCCAAAATAAGCCAAATTAAAGCCAAAATAGACCAAAATAAAGCTAAAATAGACCAAAATAAAGCAAAAATGAACCAAAATAGACCAAAATAAAATCAAAATAGACCAAAATAAGGCCAAAATAAAGCCAAAATAAACCAAAAAAAGCCAAAATGGACAAAAATAAAGCCGAAATGAACCAAAACAAGGCCAAAGTGAGCCAAAATAAGGCCAAAATGAACCAAAATGAACCAAAACGAAGCCAAAATAGACTAAAATAAAACCAAAACAAACCAAAATAAAGCGAACGTGAACAAAATAAAGCCAAAACAGACCAAAATAAAGCCAAAACAGACCAAAATAAAGCCAAAATGGACCAAAATAAAGCCAAAATGGACCAAAATAAAGCCAAAATGGACCAAAATAAAGCCAAAATGCCCCAAAATGAGCTCAAAAAGACCCAACTAAACTCGAAAACAACAAAAGAACTCCAAAGCCTCTACGGGAAATTCACCCGCGTAAGTGCCGCTGCCGTTGGGCACCAAATTGAAAGTCTGAGTGAACTTCATTGGGGGGTTGTCTTCTATGGCCAGATCGCCTGCAGCGCAGCAAAAAGGAAGCAAAAGTGCGGAATAAATGCGAAATAAATGCGAAATAAATGCAAAATAAATGCAAAATAAATGAAATGTTTGCCAATATTCAGCAAATTTGAAATAAAAAGTCCAAAATATCTTTAAAAGCAAAAAAATCAAAAAAAAATGAACACGAACTGATGCCCCGCGAAGGAAAGCTGTACAGACACCCGAAAAATGAGCGCAGCAGCAGCGCAGAAAGGAAATAAATAAATGAAAAATAAATAAATAAATAAATAAATAAATAAATAAATAAATAAATGATAAATAATAAATAGAACAAAACAATGCAGCAGAGAAGCTGTCGGAAAGGGGAATTCCGAAAGAACAAAAGCCGCAGCAACACCCGCCCGACAGCTGCTGCAGCAGCAGCGCAGCAGCAGCAGCAGCAGCAGCGCAGCAGCAGCAGCAGCGCAGCAGCAGCAGCAGCAGGACCGCAAACTATGATGAGGACTCCGCCGTGGGGCGTGGGCTGGCAGTCGCAGGTGACCAGCTGGTGGCTGACAGCAGCAGGAAGCTGCTGCAGCTTCTGCAGAATTGCTGCTGCTCCTCTGAACTGAGTGCCTTCGTAAGTCAGCAAAGAGTTCTCCGTGTACAACTCCGCCAGCCCAGCCCTGCGCGCAACAACACCTGCTGCTGCTGCTGCTGCTGCTGCTGCTGCTGCTGCTGCAGCTGGGTGGGCTGCTGCAGCAGCTCTGTGGGCTGCTGCAGCAGCTGTGTGGGCTGCTGCAGCAGCTGTGTGGGCTGCTGCAGCAGCTGCTGCAGCAGCTGTGTGGGCTGCTGCTGCTGCTGCTGCTGCAGCTGCTGCAGCAGCAGCTGCTGCTGCTGCTGTGTGGGCTGCTGCAGCAGCAGCTGCTGCTGCTGTGTGGGCTGCTGCATGCGCTGCTGCAGCAGCTGTGTGAGCTGCTGCAGCGGCAGATGCACGTGCTGCTACAGGCGCTGCTGCTGTAGGTGCAGGTGCT